CAGACGACCCCGTAACAATATGCGTTTTGTACTGCTGTTACACAGCACAAAACGCATAAAAATTATGCTTCCCATAGTGCTTTTTTCAGGGCAATTTTTGGATCACTAAGATGACACTTCTTCAAACTGACACATTGAGCTAAGGGTTGGCGGGAGACCGATTATAGGGTTGATAAAGTACCGTGATGAATCTCTTGTTTCTTTTTTGCATGGTTCGTTTAAATCCACTCCTTCCATCTCCCACCTCTTACACTTCTTATTCTTCTACCATCAATGGATCCCCCTTTCCCCCTCCCCCTCTCTCCCCAGCTGCACCGACAGGAGATGTTTTACTGTGGAAAACTCTCTTCGGTACCCTCTGTGCCTCCCTCCCCCTCGCCCTGTATCCCCTCGCAGGAGCTTCACATTCATTTCCCTCTCTTTCCCTCCCCCCTCAGTCGTAGACGTAGTTTGGGGCCAACCGGGACTTAGGGGTGTCGCAGCGTCCGAGATGATGACAGTAAGGTAAAACTGACAAAACCGCCTTCTCCCCCCTCCCCCGCTCCTCTGTTTCTCAGGAAGCCGCTTTTGTTCTGCCTCTGTCTTCTACAATATCTTCCTATTCTGATCTTATTTAAATAGGCTTATTTCCTGCATGGCTGGTGAGAGGCTGTATTGACGATTCCTATTTCCAGTTACGCTCATTACTGTATCTGTGGTTTACAGCTAAGGGATGAAACACTGGCTACATATAGACGCGTTGCTTCGCCACATTTCGAAATTCACTCCGTACTGATCTTACACTCTTTCCAAGCACCCACATCTGCCGACCCAAATAAATATGTGAATTGTGGATATCCGGGTTTTCCTCGACTTTGTTAAGATTTAATAAAATCCGTAGGTTTGTAACGGAGTTGTTATATTTGATTCACTTTGATATTTGATTGGCTTTTGTTTCATCAGCACATTTTTCGCCGCTGCTACAGCTGGCAAATTCTCCATTCTTCCTTAATTCGCGCGCCTGCCTTGTTCATATTATTTCATAGGGAGCTATTATCAGTTCGCTCTAAATTACTAAGCTTTCTAGCTTGTCTGGTCTTGCAAATAGCACCACAAAAATACATAAATACTCATTAATTAGGGCCGAATAAAATTATAAAGAAGCCTAAGTAATTATGATATTATCATTGGTGCTAGTAAAAAAAGCCGTAACAAAAATAAAAGTAGAGATATTAATTATGATATACGTATAAAAGTTCTGTATATTTAGGATTATATTAAAAATTTTATTGAACAGAAATATTTCAGTCCATTAAGTCGTACACATTCCTGTTCAGCGCCACAACCGGACCGTTGTCAGTACGGTGGCTGTGTTGTTGATAAAAGATGTGAATGTTGATAATAAAAATAGTATATTGATGGTCATGCATTGAAAACAGTGTTAAATATTGTTAAATTATATATGTACATACCCAGCAAGAAGAAGCCTTATGTCAGTAAGCATAACTAGAGAAGTGCAAAAAAAGGGTCTTAAAAGCCGGAAAAGCTAAATTTAAAATAGCCCTGGGCAAATTGCGACGAAATTTGCTGCGCATGGCGGATGAAGCATGGTGGAGCTGAGTTCCAGATGCTTGCTTGCCTAGTGACCGGCTGATTGAGTCGTGCACAAACTTTTGAACATTTTTATGCGTTTTGTGCTGTGTAACAGCGTTACAAAACGCATACTGTCACGGGGTCATCTGTGTGTGTTTGTGTGTGTGTGTTTGTGTGTGTGTGTGTGTGTGTGTGTGTGTGTTTGTGCGTGTCCCACATTTTGTCCCGCACTTTCAACTCGGGAACCACAAAAGCTAGGCGATTGAATTTTTGGTGTAGTGTTCCCCGCCAACGGGTGACGCGGTAAATTAAGTTCAGCCTTTCCGTGCCCGCGGGTAACTCGTAAAGTTTTTCACGGGTAAGTTAATATCTCGGGAACCACGGGGTCTGGGAAGCTGAAATTTTAGGGTGATAACCCCCTGCCCACGCTCAATCTTACCTGTTCAGTTCAGCGTTCCCTCGCTGTTGAGTATCACCTACGGCCTCGTGAGAATTTTGGCGGTTAAACTATGAACTCGGGAATCACGGAAAGATATTCACCCTTTAAGGTTTCGAATTCAGCTTTCATGCGCTGGTACGTGAAATTTTTAACTATTTTCCAGTGTTTGAACTATTTTTGCATAGACAAAAGTACAAAGCAGTGAAAATCATGAATAGGTTCGATGGGCTGAATTGCACAAAACGCATGATCGCACCGGCTAGTCTGGTGCGCGTTGTTATTTATTGAATTCTTTTGCGGGTAAACCCTTTGGCAATCTATTCGAATAGGCGTTTATCACGCTTGTGATTAATTTTTGCTGTTTGGAGAAAATTTGGCAAATAATTGCAGCTTTCGAAGATGGCTGTAACAGTGGCAATGTGTAGCAACAGTCAGATTTCGATGTACAACGCTATGCCACTGACAATGGAGGAGTACATAGCCGGCATATCTTGCGAGCATTTGGATGTGGAGAAGATGCTGCTCGAGCAACGAGGAGCTAGAGAAGTTCGGCTTATCGTTATTTCCATTCCTAGCATTTCGCCTTAGCAAACTGACGGGGCGGGAGAAAAAAATAGTGGTTTTCGTCGTTCTGGAATCACGCATTTTCCTGGAATCATTAATTCTCGAAGAAATTTCGCGTGCACTCGAGCCGGGAGACAAAATTTATCTAAGAAGACTGAATTTTCAAAAGGTAGAAGAGTGCAGAGGCTGCCTAAAAGGCGCAGATTTGGAATGATGTGCGAAATTCAGCCAGAAAGATGCCAAATGTTGCTAAAACCTCGAAAATTTAGCTGGAAAGTGTCGAAAAAAATAGCTATAAAAAGCGAATAGTTAAGCTAAAAAGCACTAAACGGGGAGTAAAATGAGGAAAATTCCTGCTCAAGTAGATTAGAACAAAAACAAAATGCAGGGCTTGGTATAAGGTGGGGGATTGGCATCGTTTTGGCTCGGAGCTTTTCTCTGTGCAAACGATGATGCTGAATTCGGGATATTTTTCTTTTTTTGAAAGAAAGTAAATCAGTGAAATGAGTATTTATTAGTCTTACCCCTGCACATTCCCCAAAGAGAATTGCCATCATTTTCGTTCAAGAAGAGAGGAAAGGATG